GGGGCAAGCTTCCCTCATCCTGTCCCTGCACAGACACAGCCGCACCTCCAGGCTATTTTAAACCATCTGTTTACCCAGAGAGGCCCAGGAGACAGATCTCCACAGCTGTTACTTGTGGCTGGGAAACACTCAGGGCTCCACCTCCCTTCTTAGCTACTCTCAGAGGACCCAGAAAGCTACCGCGCTGTGCCCCTTTTTCTGAGCCCTGGGTCAGGGAAGTCTCTGAACCTCACTACCTTGCAGATAGAAATAAGTGGAGCTGTCTAGGAAACCTGGGACCCAGAATGAATAAGAACAATGGAAAGGACGCTTGGCTATAGTTAGAAGTCCTGCCACTGACTGATTCTGAGGTCTTGGACAAATCACTCAATCTCCCTGACACTTAGTTTCCCCATCTGAGAGTGGCAACAATATATCTCCCTCTCCTAACACCATGCTGAGGGTTGAATGAGCTCATGAATGTGAAAATATGCCGTGATTATAAAGCCTCAGACATATCTAGGTTACATCAGGGGATTTAACCCTTTAGGATCCACTGCCCTGGGACCCCAAAGCCTGTTCAACTCAGCAAACCTAGTCTAATTCTGTTCTGGACCTACCCTGCCCCTGTGCTGGGAAGATCGCAACACTGCAGCATGGGCATGCACATGCATGTCTGTGTGACCAGGACAGCATGGCCCAGCGTGCTGAGGTGTTAGAAAAAGGATCTCCTTTCATAGACAGCAATTGGAATCAAGGACTCTCCCTCCTGGTGGCCTAGGCTCTCCTTATGTCTATATTAACCTGCGTCTGTTGATTTTTTCAACCCTGTGCTGAGGGTAGCAGTTGGTTGGGCATGGGCGAATGCAAATTTAGGGGCTCTACCCTGAACTCTTGCCTCAGGTTTTAGGATGCATTTTTTCCCTTGGGCTCTCTTAGAAATCAGAAAATATCTGAAATGGAAGGGAACTTAGGAATCAACTAGCGTAACTTCTTCATATTACAAATGAAAAGCTGAGTCCGGGACTGGAAAATCACTTGCCAAGCTAAAGGAGCAGGTCCAAATTGTCACCCAGGGCTCCTTCTCCCCTTGAAGGCATCACGCCTCTATTCTTCCTGAAAATGCTCTTAGTGTGGCCCTTACTCTGCCTGTGGGCTTTGCTGGAGACTCCCTGGAAGGAAACCTTGGGGTTCAGGAGGAAATGTGGCCCCATGTATCCTTTTCTTATTCTTTGCTTAGGAATTTAGCAGGGTCTTCTACTAAAGGGACACAGAGGAAAGAGGAGGAACACTACTTGGTGTTATTCCTGGAGATGGCATGACCTGGACAACAGAGGGACCCTGTAGGCAGCGGGCCTCGAGACCCTTTGCTCTGGGTCCTGGTTGCTCCAGGCTGTGGCTGAGGGGGTTGGAACTCCTCTGTCCAGAAGCTCTGGGTCCTGGCCTGTGTTACCTGGGCTGTAACTTCTTTCTCTCCTCAGGGATGTGGACAGCCCTGGGGAAACTCAGAACAGATTGAACAAGGAAAAAAATTGCTTCTTAGGCTTAGGAAAGGATGGGTCTATCTTCCTTGCCTTAGGATCTTCTACTCCAAAGGGTAGCACTAAAGAAAGAGCAAGAAACATAGAGATAGAGGAAAGGCCCATTCAGAAGCAGAGAGAAAAGTGGAGGGAGGAGGTCCTTTGGGGCCATATTTAAATGTTTAAATGTGCTAGTGTCATTCTGTGTCCTTACCAAATCCCCAGGACTAAAGAGAGGCAACTGATGTCCCAGGACCAGAGAAGCAGGTGATGTCCCAAGACCAGGAGGCTTTGGGGGTGGTTTCATTCTCCAGGCCCTTCTTCCAAGAAGCTCCTCCTACCTCCCCTGATCAGAGGGTCCATGGTGTCACCCCGAGAAGCCAAGACAGGTTCACTGCTGTGTCCCTGGAAGCCCCTACAATGCATACCTGTGCACTCTCCCAGTTTGGTCCTGACCCCTACTATTACCATCCTAAATTCTCCCAGCCTGTCCCTAGCCCGTGCTCTTCTAGGAAGGAAGAGCACCCTAGGCCACACCAGCTCTTACCCTGTGACGATCTCAAAGGGCGGCAGCTCAATCAGCTCCTTCAGTTTCTCAGGGTCATCCAGGTCCTCCAGATCCTCGCCATTCTGTGAGGCAGGCGCAGAAGCCTCAGCGGCCTCTTCTTTCTGGGCCATGGATGGGCTGTGGCTGAGGAGTCACTGAGAGAGAGGAGAGACAGCAGTCTTGGCCAGGGGCTGGCAGCAGAGTCCCAAGCAGCTGTCAGCAGCTAAATCTGCTGAGAGATGACAGACAGAGGACTGGGCAGGCCAGCCTGGGTGTGCTTACCCCCTCTCCAACAGGCTTTATAACCAGAGGCCTCCTGCCCCTCCCCCAGGTCCTCTCCCTCTATCTTTTTTTAATTGAGTGACAGCAGATGCCGGGATGGGGGGGAATGGAAAATTTGGCCATTGGTATCCCCTATTTATCAGTAGGCAAAAACAGGAAGCTGGCAGGTGGGGATGGCTTGACCTACTCTCCCTTCCCCCACCAGTCCACATGTAAATTCATATTCTCTCCCTCCTCCTCCTCCAACTTATATCCTTCCCTTTGTTTCCTATCCAACTTTCCTAGCTTTACTAGGGAGGTTGTGGAAGGGGCCCAGGGCAGGCATCCTAAAATTTGGTAAGGAAGCTCTGTCAGAGGTTTAAGCAGGGTGAGGCTTGTGCTGAGGTGGTTGCAAAGGCTACTTGATTGGGGAAACAGGTTCAGGGTAAGATAAGAGCTGCCAATTTGGAAAGGAACTGTGAATTGTTAAAAGGAGAAGATGCTGATTTGCCTGTTATGGATGCAAAATGCAACATCAAATCTACTGGGAAACTTCAGTAGTAATAATATTGCCATTTACTAAGCTTAGAGTTTTTGAAATTGGCCAGGCAGTGAGTTTAGTGGTTTGCCTGTGCAATTGGACTTAATTCTCTTAACAGTTTGGGAGGCAATGTGTATTATCCCCATGTTACACATGGGAAAACCAAGACTCACAGAAAGGTTAAGGGACTTGCTTAAGCTCATAAACCCATAAGTGGCAGAGACAAGGTTAAAACTCAGCTTTTTTTTTTTTTTTTTTTTAACTCCAGAGGCCATTTAATCACCATGCTGTTTCTTCTTAGTTGGTCCTTTGTTCATTTAACCAATATTTATAGAGCATCCACCATGTACTAGGTGCTGTTGCAGGTACCGGGGATATGGCAAAGAACAAAACAAATGAAAACCCCTGCCCTCCTGGAGATTGAGGGAATTGGGCAACAACAGGATAGGTAATATATATGATCTATTTGGTGGGGCTGACTGCTAAAGAGAAAAGCAGGAAAGGGGGATAGAGTGATGCGAGGAGTATTCCATTTTTCTAGGGTGACCAGGGAAGGATTTGAAAAGGAGACAATTGAAAAAAGAGCTGAAGGAGATGAGGGAAATAATCATATGGATATCTAAGGGGAAACTGTGCCAAGGAGGGGAAGAGCAGGTGCAAAGGCCCTGAAGTAGAATAAACAAGAACACCTGTGTATCTGGAGAGTCCTAGGAGATGAGGCCAGAGAGATAAATGGGTAAATAGGCTGGGGGGCCTTATGGGCTTGTTATAGGGACCTCTGAGTGAGATGGGAAGCTACTGTCTTTGAATAGATGAGACACATGGTCTGACCTATGTTTTTACAGGATTGCCCTCACTGCTTATTTGAGAATAGACCAAAGGTGGGAAAGAGCAGCAGCAGAGGGAACAGTTAGAAGCTAATTGAAACTGAGAGATGCCTGGAGCTCCTAGAAAAATCCCTGAGTTGGAACAGCATTGAAAAGTGGGTGGGATGGTTTTTGCAGGTCACATGACAAATGCTTAGCTGGGGCCACAGGTTTTCATGTTTGGGGCAGTGCGAACACTCTAGGACATTCATAGGGGAATGAAAGGATTGGGTCACGATCACCTAGAGTTTGAAAATGAGGAACATAGGAACATTGGGGAATTGGTCTGAATATAGCTCCCAGTGGGTTTGGGTGGTGGAGAGGAGAAGGTCGGGATTCTTTACATGGTCTGACTAGAGAACAGGAGTCAGGATGGGTTGGAGGGTCTGGGACTCTCTCCTCCAGAGAGTTCTGAGCAGCACAGTGCCCAAGCATTTTGGTTTGACCAGGACAGTCATAATTTATACCTGTCGTCCAAGAATGATTACTACTAGTGCCCCTTTCACCCTCAAAGTGCTCCAGCATAGGCAATAAACTATATGGTCACCCGTCCTATTGGGTTTATTACTAAAAGCATTCTTATCCAGAGATTTTTTTCCAGGCATTTTTTCCAGGGGCGTAAAGCACATATTATTATTATTATTATCACCACACAAACACATATTTAAATGCAAAGAGTTGACTTCATTCTTTTATATGATCCACATTTATCAAGGGCTCCTATGTACCAGGCACTATAGTAAATACCAAGATTACAAAGATGAAGAAGGCACCGCCTCACCAGGCGCTCCCAGTCTTTACGATATTTGGAACACCATCAAGCATTCCAGAGTGCACTATGCATTTAGTGCTCACACCAATCTCACACGGGCATGTATCATTGGCCTCATTTTGCAAGTTAGTGACCTGCAGCTCATAAAGGTGAAGGGATTTGTAAAATATTTCGTGAGGGGTTAAATCCAGGTCTTCTGAGCCTAAGTTCTTATTTCCAGGGCTGCACCTAGCTTTTTCTGATGAGTATATCACTAAAGCATTATCAATGTGCATCCTTCTCCCATTTCTGAGTCAAAGCTACCATGATGTACTTGGATCAAAAGAGGAAAGCAAGGAGGAGGGGTCCTTTCAGTTCACTGTTTGCTTGGGGAAAAACTTCCTCCCTGTGGACAGGTTCTTATGCTTGGTTGTCATGTATAACCCTGGATTGGAAGGAAAGAAAAAAGTCCATGTTTATATTCCTGTTTCAGCCCTTGATTCACTGTGTGATTTTGGCCAAATCACTTAGCATCTCTGGGCCTTAGTGTTTTCACCTCTGACACAGGCTGAGCTATTGCTCTCTATTCCAGGACGGAAATGAAGAAGCAGGTCTGGCTCTCAAGGACCTGCACAGTGGAGATGAACAGTGAGATGAAAACTTTCTGTCTCTGAGTGATGTTGGGAGATGGTGCAGAGGAGGTCCCAGGCTGGTTCTCTCTGAAAAGATGACCTCTCACTCCTACCACACCCATATACAGTTTTCCCTTTGACACTTGAGTTAGTGCCCTAGACCTTCCCTTGGACTGATGACGGACAGCTTCCTTTTTCCACTGTTCCTTTCCAGTGTCCCCCCTACCCCAACCCCCTGACAGCTCTGGCTATTTATGGCACCTCCTGGGGGCCTGAATTCCTTACTGGGCCCTGGCTTTTCTTTCCAAGTCAGACTAGTTTCCCCTGCCAGCCTCAGAGTACAACCTAATCTGGGGGATCAGGTGCCAGGAGCCTGACTCCTCCTCCTCCAGCTGCCACTATATTCTTTTTAGGGCAGGCATTCCCCATCCACCATGTTGGCATTACTGGGTAAGTTTCTATCAATATACCCCCTCCTGCAAAGGAGGAAACTGAGAAATAAGGTACCTGGTTTAACATATAAGGAGTCAGTGAGATGCTGAGATTTGAAGCCAGGTCTTTCACCCTCTAAGTGCCATGCTTTTCCCACTGTGTTTCGCTGTCTGGAATTCATTAACAGTGAGAGCTGACACTAGCACAGCCCTTACTGGGGGCCTGACACTGGCCTAAGGAGGTCACATAAATTAACTCATTTGGTCCTCACAAGGGTGTTAGGTAGGTAGTAGTATTAACCTTATTGTTTTGGTGAGGACATTGAGACCAGAAAGGTTAAGTGACTTGCCCAAGAACACATAGCTAGTGAGAGCTATGTGCCTCCAGAGTCATGCTCTTAACCTCTTCACCATTCAGTCCCTACTGCTACCAGGACTAGTGAGGCTGGGCTTTGAGGGAGGAGGGGCAAGAAGGGGTCTGGGGAAGAAAAAGTTCTTGCAGGGAGATTGGGCTCTGGAAGCAATTGGCATAAGAGGGAGGGTGTTTGTGTGTGTAGGGAGTATCGGCATAAAGACACCAGACAGCTGGTGAGTGGGTTTGGAAACCAAAAAGGGAATTCTCCCAATCTGTCCCTGTAGGCCCCAGCCCCCTCTGTCCAGGTGGCAGTGGCTGGAAGGAGTTGGGTTAGGCCCAGGAGAAGCCGCAGCCTGCCTCTCCCTGTCCCATTTCCCATGGTCATTTCAGGAAACATTTGGAGGTGCTAGGAGGTTACAGAGGAGGAGGGGAGAGGGCCAGGCACAGCTATTCCTTGGGGCTGGATGCCGAGCTGACTTCACTGGGAAGGGAGTAGAGAGGCCAGGAGGGGGCAGGTGGAAAATAGTAGCTGCACCAGGGGAAAGTTTAAATTCTCACCCTATGAAAGAAGACACCTCAGGAGCACATTGATGGAGTGGGTGCTTTATGTGCAGGGACAGCTGGGATCCCAACAGCACGTTGCCCCAGAGACCCATGCCTGCCCCTTGGTCACTACTGAGACGAGGTACACAAACAACAGGCTAGACACCCCTTGGCAGGCAGGAGCCTGACCCTCCAGCAACCGCTCTGTTGACATAAACACAGGGGTGTCCAGAGCTTTGGCAGGGTATGGGGAGGGGGCCAAGGGTCTCCCAGAGTTTAAAGCTGCGATCAGACAAAGCACGAGAATCACAGGGAGGCCAGGGTTTATAATCTCCTGTGCAGGACACAATGCTTGGCTTGCCATGAAGGACACGCTGCCCTGAGCCAAATGGTGACACCCAGGACTTTAGTCCTGGTCACGGAGGTCCTCCATTCCAGCGGCCACTCCCAGCACAGCCTGGCTCCCTGGCACGGAGTCTTTGAGAAATGTGATTTGATAAGAATCATGTATATTATGATGACTAATAGTGTTCCTCTTTGAAGGGGTGTTTGCAGGGCCAAAGAACCTTTTTGGAGAAAGTGAGAAATTTAATCAACTTTTCAGAGGAAAATTTTAGCCATTAGAACATTTAGTCCTTAGAAATGTATTGGAGTAAGTGCAGGTGGAGGAGAGAGGGGCTTTTCTGGTGCTCCCCTGAGCAAATAATTTCTGGGGTTGCTAAGGATCTCAGAATATAGACAGTAGAGGGACAGATGAGGCCGAATAGACACGACTGAGGCTCCTGGCTTGACAGAGAGGGCTTCTCGTAGCTTGCACACTAGAGGAGGGGCCTAAGTGTGCGAAGTTTCCTTGAAAGCCAGGGAGGTTGGGAAGGGGTCTCTCTGGACTCTGCTTGAGGATGTAAGAGGGAGTCCAGATCCAAAGGGGTCCAGACCACAGCCAGCCTTTGTTTGGATGGGTGACTTGTTAGCTACTAATGAGGATCAACAATAAATCCTTAAAACAATAGGATCCTGTGCTTGTTTCCTGGAACTATGAGAAAGGAGAATTCTGAGAAGACTCTGAAACTGGGCTTGGGGTACAGGGGAATCTTAGGAGATAGAATGTTGGTGGACACCACAAAGGAAGACAGACTTTGGAGCCCTGGTGCAGGCAGGCCTGACAGCACTCAGGGAGGCCTTACATTCCACTACAGCATCACCTCTACCTGCTCATAGGCAGGAGGGGCCAGAGATGTACAGGGAAAACACTTCTTGCATTCTGCACCACTCTCGGCCCAGCTGAACAACCTTTGTCTACTGGACATATGCCGACCAGTCTGCCCTCCTCACTTTGCCCTTGGGCATCTCCATTTTGCGTACATTGGCAATAGGAGGAAGAATGAAGGACTCAGGGGAGGAAAGGAGGAACTAGGATACAGTAGAATGAGACATACTGCCCCTGGGGCTGCTATTTTACCTCATGCTGTTCCCAATCTCTCCAGACATTGGGTGGGAGAGCAGCACAGCCAGAGAAGAGCTGTCTTTCCCCCTACCCACCAAGTGAATCATCTTCAGACACTATGTGCCCACTCAGAGACAAGTGGAAAAACACTGCCCAAGGACAGAGAAGCACACACACATGATTTGGACGGTGGAATCTTGGAACACATCTGGCAAAGACAGAAGGCAGCTTCGACTCTATTTAGGCACAACTCTAGGTAGCAAGAGAAGAGAGGCTGAGGGCAGCATGTGATCCAGTCCAGGTTCAGAACTGGGAAGTGGGCTAGAGGAAGAGGCCCAGGTAGGCTGGGAGACTGGGAGATTAGAGGCTCCCACCCAGATACCAAGGAACTGATGTAGAGGGGAATTTTCAGGACAATTTTGGGGTCAGAGGATGAGAGTTTGAGGTTGGGATCCTGTCCTTTCCAGGGATTTCTGCACGAAGTCAGGAAGCCCTTCCGTTTGGCTCATGCCATATCAGGCGTCCATGCTATTCCAAGGCTTGGGACACTGCCCAAATCAAACTTCCTTCTCGGGGCATGTAGAAGCATCTGAACCCCTGGGTTTGTGGCATGCCCTCACCCTGGAGAAGTCAAAGTCATGCCATTGGCATGGTGCATCTTCTTGGAGGGTCAGTTTAACTTTTAAAATTAGTAACATGAATAAAATTTGTAGCAAATATTCATAATGCCAATATGAGATGATGATGATAATGATAATGACAAATACTTCTAGGGTATTCACTTGTCTAAGGTCATACAGCAATAGTGGAGCCAAGATAAGAACTCATGCAGTGTGGCTCCTAAGCCCATCCTCAATCAATATTTATAGGTTATATTTATAATTTAAAAGTTACATGTATAAATGGAGTTCTATCTTCAACTAAAACAGCTCTTAAAAATTGAGTTGAAGACAAAATCCACATGAACGTGTAAGGTAAAGAACCAATCATTTTGTGTGTTTGGTACTGGTCAGGAGAAACAGAACTAAATCCACAGAACTAAGGGGCAGATTTCTCATTCTTCTGGCTCTTAGGAAGTTTGGGAAGTACTGCTGGGGCCTCGAAGTAGGGCAGGTCTCCAGCTGTAGCATGAATCAGAATCACTCATGCTTTTTAAACAGGTGGTCTCCTGGGTTCCCCTCCTAGAACAGCTAACATTTATTAAGAACTTCCTCTGTGCCAGATACCTTTTTACTCATTATCTCATTTATTCTCCCCCAACAATTCTATGAGGTCCCCATTTTACAGATTAAAAAAACGTAGCACAGACAGTAAATTATACCAGGTTACCAGTTAATAAATAACAGAGCCAGTATCCAAGCCCAAGTCTGTCTGTCTCCAGGGTCAGAACCGCAAACCACTGCATCCTATGGCCTTCATTCCCCCAGAAGATCTGATTCACTAGGTCTGGAGTCCAGGCCTTCAACAAGTGCCCCAGGAGGTCACTGGGCCACACCGAGAAGCAACGCTCTGTGACAGCTGTTCTCAATCTGGCGGCACATTAGAACCACCTGAGAAGTTTCAAAAACTATTAATGCACTTCTCCAAAGAGAGGCCTTTTTAATTGTTGGAGTGAAGTGCTGGTGGGTGCAGGTCAGCGTTATCTTTTAATGGGACAATGTGTTCATTCATTCTATCTGTCTATCTATCTATCTATCTATCTATCTATCTATCTATCTATCTATCTATCTACCTACCTACCTACCTACTACCTACCTACCTACCTACCTACCTACCTGCCTACCTACCTACCTAATCACCTATCTATCATCCATCTATCTGCAAAAATGTATGAATACCTGCTCTGTGCCCTGTGCTGCACTGGGGCTAGAGACACAAAGGTGAGTGGGACACTGTGTGTGTTCTCTAGGAGTGCAGGTGACCGACCTGCTGGTCGAGCATGCCTTCAGCGTGGAGGCGGGGAAGGTGCAGATTCCTTCTCACATGTTCTCCCTTGGTGAGCTCCAGAAAAAGCCAGTTTCCTTCTCAAATGATGATGTCCTTCTGGCTTCTCCCACTGTATGGTCCTTGGCCCCCTCCCGAGAGGACACAGTTGGTTCCGGCCCCAGAACTCAGCTCACAGAACCACAGGTTTTTAAGGTGAAAAGGGCCCCAAGAGACCCTCCAAGCCTGGATCTCTCACAATGTAGGCAGCAGCTGACAAAAGTGTTGGGAGCTTGTTAAATCTAAAGATGCCTGGAGTCCACTCCAAAGTTCTGATTCGTAGTTCTTGGTGGGGTCTGAGGAATATGCATTTTTAATAAGCTCCCAATGGCTCTGGTACACACTCAGCAGTGGTTCTCAGGGCTGCACCTGAGGAAGCCTTGAGGACTTTTAAAAACGCTGATGTCCCGGTCCATCCCCAGAGAGTCTGGTCAATATTTTTAAAAGCTCCAATGCTAGAGTCTGGGCTGGCTTTCAGCTGGCTTTGTTGAGGATTTGAGGCAGCCCCAGGGGCAGTCACTCCTTGCTACCTTCAGGGCTTTGAAGCAAGAGAAGAAAACAAGAGGCCAGAATAGAAAAAAAATGCCAATGAGAAGGTTTAGAAAGAGAAGCAAGAGAGAAGGCTGGACAAGAGGCTCCTACTGAATTCACTTGTCAGCAACAAAGCTTACATCTTTTTTCAATGCTTTTTCTTATTATAATAGTTCCTAATCAGTGTGAAAAATTAATAGTATAAATATATGAAAACAAAAATAAAAGTGATCTATATTACTTATATTAACGATATAAGGCATATATAATGTATAATGTAATATATTGTATAACCATATTATACATTAAATATGGTTAATATAATTAATATATTAATTAAAATAAGTTAATTAAATAAAATTAATATTATAGTATATAATATATAAGAAAAATATATAAACTTGACATGTAAAATTATCCTTTTTCTACTTTTCTGTTTTGCTTTTCTGTGACTTTTCAAAAAGATTTTGTTTTTCGGATAATTAAAAACCTAAGTCCTAAATTTTTTGGCCAGATTTTGGAGGGCACGTGAGTGGAGTGGATGGAGATGGTGTGTCACCCTCCTCATACGTGCGTTTGCGTATTCATTCACGTGTGCACACTTACGCACATGCACAGACACTTCTATTACCACTTTGCCACCCTAGACATCATACCCTCAAAGTTAGTAACAGAATTTTATTAACCGATATTACTAAATTAATATTTATTAATACAGGATTTGTTAATTTATATTAAGTAAAAATTATATATTATATTAAGTAAAATAAATTTCCTTCCTCTTTCCTATTTCTCTGAATTCTAATGAACACTGGCACTAGGGGACCCAAGACAGTGGCCACATTGGAGTGATTCATCATCAGGGTCTCGTCAATCCCTGGTTACCTCCCGCTCCCCCGTCTCCCCACCCGAGCCCCATAGTCTGCCTCTTCCAACTCTGTCCAGGCCTCCTCCTCCTATCCTGTGCCCTGGTGCTTCAGTCGCTCTTCTGTCCCATGGGCTGAGGCTGGTGCTCTGAACACAGGCTGTCCCTCCACAGGCGGTAGGTGATGGAAGCAGTCACAGTGAGCCAGGCCAGGTAGGGCAGCAGGAGCAGGGCAGCCAGCTTGTTGATAGGGTGCCAGATCAGTGCCGTGCTCACGACCAGCCCATAGAGCAGCAGCAGGTGAAGCAGGGCCTGAGCAGGGGCAGGACAGTCAGGAAGGGTGCCCTGAGTACGGGGCCCTTGAACTTTCTGCAGCACCCTGGACCCTGTGAGCCAAGTTCCTGGGGCTCTGTGCACTCCACCGGAGCGCAGAGAAGTCTGCCCACCCGTTACCTGCCTGCCCCTGATTGATCTGCTGTTATCTGCTTCTGGTGGTCTCACCTGCCCTTATACTACTTCTACTGCTGAGCACTGTGCACCTTACCAGGCCAGGGGTGTGGGCTGCGAAAAGGAGAATCAGGACGGTCCAGCTGATGGCGAGCTGCACAGCATAGAGGCCAAGAGGCAGGGCCAGGGGCCGCCCAAAGCCCCCTCCCAGGTCTTTCCACACCAGGTAGGAAGCATAGCTGTGGAGGGATGGTGGCAGAAATGCTCAGAGGGAGGATGCTCCATGGCAAATGGAGGAAGCCCTCTGACATCAGGACTCCTGGTTACAAAGAGGGAACCCTTGTGAGCTGAAATGGGGGCAAGTGGATCTAAGCATCATTTGAGGGCTGGGGCGGGGGTGATGGTGGGAGCAGTGGGGCATGATGAGGTGGGGGAGGGGTGGGAGACTTGGAGAGGGTGGAAGAAGAGGGCTGGCTGGAATCCTAGGCAGGCACAGAAGGGTCCCACTATAAGAAGCAAGGTGGGGTGCCATCCCTTTGCAGGTCAGTATGCAGTAATAGTTCCCACCCTAGTGGGTATCAGGGCCATACCATGAAAAATGGGTGCTCACCCCATGACAGAGTAGATGGTTGTCCATACAAGCAACAAGACTTTGTGGGGTGGGCACCAGGGCAGCTTCCTCGGGCCATCACACCAACCAGATATTCGATGAGGGGCAAGCAGCCAGACCAGGACGGGCCCCAGGTGGGGCAGGGCCACAAAGATGGCCCCTTGAGGCCACATGCTCCTAGAGGAGGCAAAATCTGGGGAGCAGAGAACATGCTAACAGTGAGCCTTCCTCTTAATCCCTTCCCCTTAGTCCCTCCTTTCTGAAACTATTCCTTGGCCTGACCCCTCACCCCACACTGTAGGAGGTATAGGCATGCTGATGCCACCTCCTGTCTTGCTCCTGTGAGCCCATACTGCTCTGCCCCTTTTCTGCCTTCCCTGGACTTATTTTTCCCACACTTCTCATTTGGCACTCAGAGGATAATGTCAGGTATTGGTAACTGAATCTGAGTGAAAGTCTCCTTACCCTAACATGTATCTGAATCCTGGTGCTGAGGTCCACGTATTACCATCTTTTCTACCTCCCACAGCAGGCTGCTCTTGGCCAGGTACATACATAGCAGGCCCTCAGGGGGGATGGTACCTTAGACCAAACTCAACCAAACTGACAAAACCCGCCTGGCAGGAGACAGAGATCCCTGGGGGTATTTTCCAGTCAACAGTGGGCCAGGCCATCTGCCCCAGGCTTATCTCACTATACCAGACTGGCAAACTCCAGGGGCCCACCCAGCCTGAGCTCCTGTTCGAATTCAAACTCAGCCAACTGGCACTGCGGGTTCTGGTTTCGTTCTCTGAAGCCTCAGGTCTCATGTACCCCTCAGGGGCTGGGGGACGTTCCCCTACATCTCTCTACTTCCAGAGGGTCGGGGCTGCAAACACACACAACCAGATTTCTTGTGGCCTGACTCTTCAAGGAAACACCCGCCTGGTCTTTCATTAAGAAGTTGCCATACTCATTTGCATGTTGTTTTGGATGTCGTTCCCATGTGAGAAGATGCACAGACCCTCCTCCAACCAAGGCCCCCACCCAATATCATTCTTTTCATTTGCACATGCTAATTTGGCCTCTTCTCCACAGTTGACAGATAGGGTTGGAGAGAGAAAAAAGGTGGTGATTCTCAAGTGTCCTGGAGTGACTGCCTTCACCATCCTTTCCTGTCAAGGGCCTTTGACCATGTCCAGGAGGTTCTGGGGTCAGGGCTGACCAGCCTGCCTGCTGTGCATCTTTTGTTTATCTTTCTCAGCTCTTCACTGTTCATCTTCTGCTTTTCCGTCTCTCTATCTCTGTGTTTTCTATTTTCCAGCCAGTGTTGGAGACCCTCCTCCTGCCCTACTCCTTCTCATCCTCTTTTTCTCCTGTTTTCCACCACTCCCAGTGCCTCTTTCTTCCCAGGTCTGTATTCCCCTTACCTCAAGCAGCACTCCTCCCAGACTGGGCGCCCAGTGATATATGACGTGTGAAAGGCAGAGGAAGGTGGGTGGGTGGGGGGATGGGTGGAGCAGGACTCCCAGCTAGCCTGCCTGTGTCCAATAACAAGGGTGGTGACATTGGTTGAGGAGTCCAAGTTGCTGCCTGCATGGCCCTGAAGGGTTCTCTCAGCAGGGGTCTCTGGTCTGCTAGCCCTGGCTTCTGGAGGGGCCCCTTGATGGATGATTGAAGCTTTGGTGCTGTGATACCCACACCTTTTGAGACTGCTCAGCCTCAGGCTGCATGCCTGTGATCTCTGCATTCTGTGAACCAGCTTCGTGTCCTCGGGGTTGGTGGAGATCCTCAGATTTCCTCAGAACCTTTTTGCCACTGGGACTGTCCCCAGGTGAGGCAAGCACAAGCTTTGGACACAGCCCCTCGTTATAGCCTGCTAGTGCTGGAACTTGAGCTTGGAACTTGAGCTTGACAGGTCTTTCACAACCCTCCTAGAACTTTATGACTCAGAGGAGAAGGCAGTCTCCTGTGTGACTCAGAGCTTTGTACAGCAAAGATTAAAATCTCCCCTTCTCATCCCCATACAAGTTCTGAGCATTTGTCCTTGCTCATCCTTTAAGGTCCCCTTCCCGGGTTGGCTGCTCTTTGCCATTCCTTTGCCCATCTCTCTACTTTGGGGACCACGAAAGGTGTTTGTTTATTCCATACATCTCCTCTACCCCAGGGAAAGCAGCAGAGGGGAGGGGTTGCAATCAGGGAGGGACAAGAGGCTAGAGAATCATTAACTGAGATGAAAGCAGCAGCAGTTACTTATTTTTACGGGAAGATGATGACTGGGGGGCTGGGGGAGCTCACCCTTGTTCCTCAACTGCAGGAGGCCAGATAATGGAGGTAACAGCTACCCCTTATTGAGCGCCCATTTTGTAGTAGGCGCTTTATATTTATTAGCTCAGTAACGACAATAATTACCCCTCACAAGGTAGATACTATTAACTACACTTGACAGACAAGAAAAGTGAGGCTCTGAGAGGTTGCGTAACTTGCCTAAGATTACGGAGCTGAGGGGTGGGTCACCAGGGTTTGGTGTTGGCAGTCTGGAACCAAAATGCATCCTTTTTTTCTCTCAGTTGGACCACCCATTTATTCAACAAGTCTTTGTTGTAAACACCTGTTTGGATCAGGCTATACCAGGAGCTGAGGATACAGCAGCTATACAGCTGAGGATAAAACGAATCTCTTTTCACAGGGAGTTTTCATTCTAGTGGCAACATCTTCCCTAGGCAGAGTTTCTAAGGAAGGACGCAGGCTGGAAATGGCCTGAAGTTCAGCTCTCCCCCAAGTGGCAGTGTCCCTACCAGCAATGAGTGTGGGCGGTGGGAAGAGCACTGGGCAGGAAGCAGATATGGGTACACCCCAATGCCACCAGCAAGTTGTGATTTATTACCCCTCTCAGTGCCTCCTCTGTCATTTCTGTGCAGGAATGGGGTGGAACTACATACTAAGCTCCCTGGACCAGCCCCATTGGCAGCACCTGTGAGCTTGTTAGAGATGCAGAATCTCAGACTCCACCCCAGATCTACAGGATCAGAACCCACATTTTAATAAGATCTCACACTTTAATAAGGTGGCTTGTTTGAGAGGCTCTGGTCGGGGTTCTCTCCTCTTACCTTTTGCCATTTCAATAGCTTCTGGCTAGGAACAGCCACTCGCCAGTAGAGGGCGTGGTAGGAAGGGCTTTCACCTGTCCCCTGAGGCTGCATCTGTACTGAGGTTGTCTCCTCTCTGTACCCTCCCTCCCAGACCTATACTGGCAAGTCCACTGACTTCTGGGATCATTGGCTACTCCCTCACCTTGGCTGGACTTTGGCAACAAACGGACAGGCTGCCCCATTCTTCTATAGGGTGGCTGGGAGGCAGGACTCTGCCAGGAAGCACCAGGCCACTCCTGCCCGATTCCCCGCCCACCTGCAGTTGTCTGCTGGCCTGGTGACAGGGTCTGGCTGACCTCTGTTTCTCAGAGAAGAGACTTCTTTTCCTGGGGAAGCCGGCAGCCTTTGGGAGCACCTGCATGGTAAGGTGAGCTCACCCCTGGGGCAACTGAGGTTGGGGTGGGCATTGCTTTGGGGCCCCCTGGGGATCGGAGAAGCCAGCCAGGCCTACCAGAGAGTGGAGATCCTCTGCTGGAGGAGGAGAGGAAAAAGGGGCTTGGGAGAGGCCTACTGTTCTGTAGGTGTGAGGACCCAAGTGGCAGTGGTATGATTCTCTGCACCGAGGACGTGTATGCTCTGCTGATGAGTGCTGCCTGGGACTGAAGTTTGGACTCAACCACCCTGGTACTTTTTATGTCCTTCAATAGCTGGAGATCTGTTAGGGTTGAACAGGCATGGTAAGACCAGTGACGTGGGAGATGGTTTGAGTGTTTCCTCAAAGGGGATGAACAGAGTTTTGTAGCAGGAGCATGGATCTTTGTGCTAGAGGAGGTGATTCCCTAGGGACAGCTAATGGCAGAATTCCAAAGGGCCCCTCATCATGGGGAACGACTACCCAAGATGATCTGGGGTCTGGGACAAGGCACACTGGAGGCATGGGTAATAACGAGTCAGGCATAGGGTTGGGAAGCTCCACTCTACATTGAGCTGGTTGCCATGCTGTCAATATGGGACCCTTACCATTACTGGGGCAAGGGGGAGGATGGAGTGAGGGCCAAGGCAGCCTGGAGAGAGCTGTCAGCCAGGGGAACAGGGGCTGAGCTAGGGGAGGAGTTAACCTGCTCCAGGCCATGTAGTGAATGGGCTCCTCATGAGAGGCTCAGCAGGGCTTTAGGACTTCTAGATACCAACTGCTTCAGGTTGGGAGGCTGGGCAAGGGGACTTGGCTGAGCCACCTAAGGGGGTGGAGGGGATTTGCACTCTGGTCTTTTGGGGCCCCAGGAAGGTGGTTTCTACAGAAATAGAGCTGAGCCTCTCCTTTCACATTAGCTGGCCTATCCTCTGCTGCTGGTGCCTTGGTGGGTAAGGGGTGAGGGTTGGGGGGGGGCGGGGTTCACTGTGGAAAGAAGGATGTGCCTTTATTTCCTGATATTTATTTTTACTTTATTTTTGTTTCTTTCTCTTTCAACTTCATTTCTTCTAGAAGTGGAAAGGAAGAGACCTAGGGGAAAAAGAAGGGCCAGGGGAAAAAGCGAGTATTTCTAGAAGTCCATGTCATCCCTGCTCATTCTCCTTTCTGCGTCAGTTGTAGCTTAATAATCCCCCATCTGTCTTCACTGTGGCGAGAAAACTTGGCTTCCTGATCTGTGAAATGGAAATAAATCTCACACCTAGCCCAAAGGCTACTGTGAGGATCAGATGAGCGAGGCCACCTAGAGTGCTTTAACTGAGGTGCCGAGTAAAGCTCCATAAATATTAGCTCTTATTATTACAGTTATAATTTCAAGTATCTTTAATGTGGAACAACCCAAAGGCATGGAGGGGATGTAAAAGGAAGCTTGTTGCTCCAACCTCATGCCCATCAGAGTTGGGGCTTTGCCAGCTCATCTGCTTCACATGTGTGCCCTTTAAGAGGCCTGCTGTACTGTCTGCACGGTTGGGTTCTAAGGCAAAAGAAACAATGCCAACCTTCCCTTCCTGTCTACATTTTCAATGAGGACACAGGGAGACAGATCCTGTGCCAGTCCTCAGTCCTGAGGATACAGAGGGGCTTCTGCCCCTGTCTGGGAGGAGCTAGGAAGGGGGCTTAGACTTTAGGGGTCCCAAGGAAGGAAGGAAGCAGGTGGGCAGGGAAGGAGCAGGAGGCTGCGGGAGGCGGGGCAAGGTCTCAGCTCCCTGTGTGTGGTATGAATGAAGGGAGGCGGAGGAATGGATGCCAGAAGTTTTCTAGTGCAGAAAATCACCCACAGAGCGAATGAGTCCCATTCCCTCAGAAGCTCCTTGAGATCCGAATAAGATGCCAT